AAAATAACTTACATCTACAGAACTCAAAAGCCAGAAATGACCGCCTTTTGTCTAAGGGTGATGGTTGTATCTATTATTTTATATGATCACATTGACCCACAAGGAGCTTTTAATAGACATTCATCTATTAATGTATGTTATATTAATTTATTTTAATGATTTAAAGAGGAATATTAAATAATATAATCTAAAAATTTATACAGATAAAATTATCCGTAAAGGCAATCCAAACTCACGGTTCTGATGAATGCACAAATCTGATATCTGCTCTACGTTTCAATACAAAGCACCTTAATGATGATTCTACTCCTAAAAATATAAAACAATTATTGAGCAGTCACTGAGCTTTATGAACAAGAAATGTTCATAATTTTTTTTTTTAAATTGTATTCTTGTCGTAATAATAGCTTTGATGATTATTATTTATTAGCTGTGTAGTACTTCGATTGATTTTTATTTGTGGTGAGATAGATAATTAAAGTGGGCTGGACCTGCTGCTTATTATTATTATTATTATTATTATTATATTATTTTATTACCAATACTTTTTGCCTTTGTTTATGGCATGTGGATTTTTTTTATGATTTATGGGCAGGCAGGGATTTCTAAAGCCTTCTAGATTGAAGTACAAAATAATGTTTTGATAGTATGTAGGTAAATATTCAATGTTTAATTATGAACCCTCGTCCATATCTGGGAATCATTATGTGCACCACGGCGAATGAAGTGCTTCCCTAAACGATTAGTCGATATAGTTGATATACGAGCATAATTACAATAATCTTAATCTTCGTATGTACCTAATTTATATAAAACATTAAGCTAATTTTGCTTTAACCAACTTTATGTTTAGACCCATTAATTCTAAACAATCATGGTTTATTATTGTTATGAAAACTGTATATGAATTCTTTGCGGATTTAAATATTATTCCAACTATTGTGAGATTATTAATCATATACAATTGCATTTTTTAAAAATTCTAGCAAAACTCAATTCCTATACATCTAGGTAGCGATGCACAATATTAGTACAACTAAATGGTCGTTGAATGGAATTTCGACAAATCAACGCAATGTTTACACAGCAAATAACATATACTGAATGATAAATTCATTAAACATATACATATTTAATTGTTTTTTTTTTCTTCAAATCTCTTGTTCTCAATAAGTCTGTAAAGAAAGTATGGACCTCACATCCTCAGTAAACCTTAACGCATCAAGAAAAGGTAACAAATCTAACAGTGCCTCGTCATGTTGGTCACTGATCCAACCTTCGATTGGTATACCGTTTTCTATAAAAAATAAATAAATAAATAAATAAATAAAATAAAATAAAAAGGTCATGATAAATTTGAATAAGTGATTATTTCATTACCTTGGTGCATTGCATAGGAAATTGGCGAATTGTCAATTAAACATACTCTCGAAAGGTCAGGCTCAACAATTGTTAGATCCTTGATATATGCTCCGTTTCGATTGGTGCAAGACTGATATAATTAAAACAAAGAAAAAAAAAAAGGTCTTCATGGACATTCTATCCTTTCCACATGA